AAGGCTGGCTGGGGAATTCTGGGAGTTGAAGTCCACACATCTTAAAAGTGGCCAACTTTGAGAAACACTGGTTTGTGGGGATATGATTTCATGAATGTGGGGACTGTGTTAATCCAGATTTAAGATTCAGCAAACTGCTCTCAACCCGAGCTTTCTATTCGCCCCTTGCCTGATGCTTGGTTTTTATTATTCGTATCCTTTGATCGATTGTAAATTCCACCAAAAGGCAGAAGGTTAAATGCAGAAAGTAGATTGCAAGAAAACTCGAAAGCCAAGATACTGTACACTAGTCCGTAAAACCAAAATAGCCATTTCTGGTTTTTTGATGCTGCTTCGGTTTAAAAAAAAAATTAGCAGTGGGGGTGGGTGAAGGTATCGCACATCTGGGCCACCCACAATATATCTGCTTCCTTTCCATATCTGAGTTGGCTTCATAGAGGCAGTTTCATCAGGCAGACCACACATCAAGCGTGCATGTATGTGTGTATATGCAAACCTGCATTTCATTCGTACACCATTTTTCCACAGGAACAGACAGCGCTGCATCGCAAAGTTGCAGATCAGTCCTGTACGTGTATTAATACTTCCATATCCACCAGTTATTCATGCTAGCCCATTGCTCCAAAATTTGTCACTAGGCATTTGCCTTTCTCTGACAGGAAGTGAATTTGGGTTTGGTGGCCGAGGCGGGAAGAAGACATCTCGGCTGGCCTCCCCCGTGGCATTTCAGTCTGTCAGCAGCTGTACCCCCGTGCCAATATTTCACAACGCCTTAAGAGTTTCGAAGTTTGTCTCTTTAAATGACTCCTTCCAATAAGTCCTCATCAGGCTGTCCCATATAAGCCAACATCATCGCTTTAACAGCACTTGTGACTCAGATCTAGGTCCACTATAAGATACCTCAGTGACTCTGAGTGGTGAGTTTTCCCTCTTGTCACCTCGCAGGGCTGTTGTGAAGTTCAGAAAGGAGAAGAAATCACACGCGGCATTGTTTGCTGGCGACCTTTCAACCTTGTCCCCCCCTTGCAAGACTGCTGGGAAGAATTTTAGGGCGCTGTGGAGGGAAGAAGGGCGTGCATCACCTTCAGGGTGCCAAAATTGCATTAAGCGGGGAAAAAAAAGACATTACAGGAAGTGAGCCGGGTTAGCGTAGGGTCTTTAAAAATTAGGTGCGTGATGACACTCTTTCGTGCACAGTAATATCAACGCATAACAAATATCAATGCACAATAATATTAATGCAGAGTAAACAATATCGATGGATAATAACTAATAATGATGATGATAATAATTAAAAGTGTCCTTGCTCTCTCTCAAAGCTTTTGCCTGTGAATAAAATGCGCTAGACGAAGAAGGGGTGACCAGATGCACTGATAATCAGATTTTCTGCAACTCGAAGAAGCCATACTTTGAGGCAATGTTTTTCCACCTTGGCCGCTTTAAGAGGTGTGGACTTCAACTCCC